TGAGGGTGTTTTCAGGGTTGTTTGCAAGAATAATTAGGAATGCTTAACAAAATGAAAGTTTAAAATGGCATTGGGTAATTGATCTTTTGCATATTACAGTTTAAAGCAGGGGATTTAAAGTTAAAATCGACTCCTCTGTTAACCCACAGGAACTAAACTGACTTATAATTACCTTTCACTTGTAGTTCCACTTGAAGAATGATTACGCTTAAAGTATTTTTGTTTACATCCTGTATGAGGAAAAAAATATGGTGAAATTGATGTTATCTTTCTTTTAATTTTAAAGTGTCAGCAACATTTTTCCTTAATAGCTTTAGACATGTCAAAGACCAAAGAAAGTCGTGTCAGTCTGCCTGAGGCAGAATTAACATCCTACTCCAGGGAAATTTGCTGAAGCTTTGAACAAGGAAGATGATGTATTCGAATATGTTTTGCATGTTTTGAGACCATACAGCATACAAATGAAGTGCTCCAAGATTATTCATGTTTTGTGTACATTTTCTTGCAGAGCCATATACTCCCTAAAAGGTGATGATGTGTTAGCTGGCTGCTGGCTTGTGGAATACAAAGTTTAGTAGTTAGATGTAACAAGACTCACTATGTCAAGTTGCCATCCATTTATGACTTAGATAAATTCCATGTCTATTTAGTTCTTTTAGAATGAATTGTGAATAAGCTCATTGTCCCCCTACAGTATAGGAAATGAAAGTAGCTGTGGACTAGACTGTATTGAATTGGTAGCTAGTCATGTCACACAGTGGCTACAATGTAATAATGCAAGTCCATAGAAAAATTGGTACTTCTATCAGTCTTCATAGAAGGTCACTTTGTAATTTTTTTTTTTTTTTTTTTATTTAAAGCGTTAAGAGGAATTGCTGTTGTGACACTATATCCAACTGTAAAGGATGTACTCCTACCATAGGTGTCCTAATAGTCCCCGAATATACTGGGTAAAATGTTGGTTTGGTTCTGTGTTTGACAGTCTACAATGATTTATTCAAAGGTGTTGGTGTGTTTCCAACTGGGGACAGAACAGGTTTTTCATTTAAATTGAAACAAAATAGGGAAGAAAACCCACTATGACAAGTATTCAGCAATTTTAGTGTCACCAGGGTTAAAGAGTGAAATAATCCGCCTGTGTTCTGAGATAGACTAATTTGCTTACTTAGATTCTCAGTGTTTTAATACATTGCTGCTCTGATAAATATTGTGCTATTAATGAATATTGAAAGACAGAATACATCCTTTTGATACTATTTAAAAATAGGAACACAAGGCCAAAGGGGTCTTTCCAGCCATCAGGCCAGTGCTGTTGTAGCAGGGGACCATAGCATCCCTTGATAAGCTATAAACTAGCCCAGAACTGTTTGTTAGTTTTTCTTTTGAATTATTCATATGGTGTTTGGATTCATCTCTAGGTGTTAATTAACACTAATAATCAAGAAGATGAACTTTAAAGTAAACATACACGTTCTTAACAGGTGAATAATATATGCAACTAAGTTGGGTTGTTTTAATACCTGGGAAGAATTTACCAGTTGCTCTGGGTCCTTTCCATAATTGTCTGCCAATTGGGATGTCACATTAAAAAAAAATATCGGGAATAGGTTTTGTTATGGAAGAAACCTTTTTGTTTGCAGTGTATTAGGTGACTTCTACCTCTGACAACTTCTTGTGTGCACAGGGGTGTGACACCTGTGAGCAGTCAGGTTCCTGAATTTTGGCTATTTGTCTGTGCAAGATCTCAAGAACATGTAAATAACCGAATTCCTCACTCATTTGTTGTGCCTGTTTAGAGGTTATGTGTTGTAACATAAATCTTCAAAGGTCTTCACCAAAAGAAAAAGATCTGACATGGTGCCTGCATTAGTGGAGTGTTTCGGTAGCCTGCTGCTTCTGTGGTTATTCTTGTCTGACTTTGATAAACATTTCCTTACTGTCAACTAAGATATTGTGGTATAAAGAAAATAGTTTTATTCTTCAGCAGTAGAGAATGTAAGTGGAGGAGACAGATTTACTCTCTTTAATTTATTTGTTTTGGAGAATTGTATATGTTTAAATAGAAAATGTATCATTATCTAGCCTTTTTCTCGGGGGAAAAAGGGTTATAGTTACTCCTTTCTGCCTTGCTGTCTGCACTTATTTATGCTCTGCTCTGCTGTTGATTATCTGTGTTCTTGAAATCTTTCTTGACTTGTGCTTTTTACAAGAGTGAGGATGAGGAAACATTGTAAACTAAGATCATGGAGTACTAGCTTGTAAGCATTACCACAATGCAAGTCAGCATTACCCGATAGAAACTGGCCAAATTAAATAGTTCTCTCAGACTAACACAGAATCTCAGAATCCTTAAAAAAGGGCACTAAAGGCAATGCTACTGGGTAGATTCACTCCAGACCCAGGCAGCAGAAACTTGTCATGTTATTTTTGAGTATCTCAAAAGTTATCTTGGATTCTCCAGCTATTCAACGGGCAAAAACTTCAACTGAGTTCAGAGACATCAAAAGGGGTGATTGCTGTACCACACAAAAAAATGTGTCAATATGATGAAAACCAACACAGATTTGCTCTGAATTAATAATTTTTTTTTTTGTGACTGTTTTCTAGTCTGATAACTTAAACCAACAAACAAAAACCAGTAATGCAGCCACTTCTACATGTTTACATTGGTACTTTATGTAGCAGGCTGGCATGTATCTCATCAGTCACTGCAAACTCTTCTGTAGAAACAGCAATATTCTTCTACATCTCTAGTAAGTCATGCTGTTACTGTCAACGTTTCCATTTCACCACTTTGTGAGTATATCTGCATGCTGTACATGTTTGCATGTGCATATAACTCCTCTCATGTCTTAAAAGGACTGCTGTTCAAAGTCAATTTTCTAAATTAATCTTAAGGCTATTATAGATTTATGAATTATATACATTAAACAATAACTGTTTCTAAACCTCTTTGTTGTCTGAGATTTTAATAGGGATCTTTTGGGTCATTAAATTGAAGGACAATAATTCTATTGTTTGATAAGCTGGTTTTGTGTGTCTGACTTCATCAAAGACATCCTTGTATTTCAGAGCCCGGTGTTTTCTGTGCTTGTCTTCAACACTTGTTAAGTTTGACTTTACAATATCTCAGAAAAATAAATCGACTTCAAATTCCTAATCTGATACAACTACCCACAAAGAACTGGACTTCTTTTGTAATCAGATATTTGTGCCATGTAACACTGCACTGAAGGGAAACTTAACTGATTGCAGTAGTCTGCTGAAGTGCCATTTACCTGGGCTTACTGGCATCTAGCCCACAGGATTGGTTTGATCAACTGCTACTTTTAAAACTGAAACATTAGGTCTTCCTTTACAATGGTTTATCTATCTTGCTGCATTAAGTTTGCCTTGTCTACATTACACAAGTCTACTTTGGGATGAAACAAAAGCTGATACTGGGAAAGGACTTACACTTGCCCCCAGGTTTTGCTGTCGAGTTCACAGCAATGCCTGTGGAACAGAAGGAATACTATTTTCCCAAGTTGAACAAAACTAATATTTCTTGCCACTGAGTATGAACTCTGTATTTTCTTTTATCTGCCTTGTTCACATTTCCATCCCTATAGATATACTGGCATGCATTTCAAAACCCATCTTTTTTTCTGTATTTATTTGTGGTTCTTCTTCATGTGCTGTTGATGGGAACAGCTTTGTGAAATATTTTGAGGATTCTGCTAGAGATTTTCTCCCAGTATACATAGATATTATCATACTGAAGGAAAGCCAGTTACTGTTGCCAAATAGGAGGGGAAGGAGCTGGTCAAAATAATGCGTGTTGTGCTTCATTACTTGTTGCCTGCTTTTGCTTGTTTCTAACTTGTTGAATAAAATGAGTTGGGAATGTAATGGAGCACCATTCCTTTTGGATACATGGTTAAAAACATGACCAAATTTTTATTAAAGAATCTTTTTTGCTTCCTCTTCTGCCTGCTATGGAGGAAACATTTTTGTTTGGCCATTAAATGTCCTGTAAGCTTCGAGGCAAAGGAAACTTTAACTTCAAACTATAACTGATAAAGATTTTTCATAATCCTAACCATGCAAATCTTGCTTACCAAAAGAGTTTGTGCTATAAATTCAGGCTATTTTGTATCCATATAGAATCATAAAACGGCTTAGGTTGGAAGGGACCCTAGAGATCATCTAAGCCAACCTCCCTGCCATGGTTAAGGACACCTCTCAACTAGACTAGGTTGCTTAAGGCCTTATCCAGCCTGGCCTTGAACACCACCAAGGAGGGGGCATCCACAGCTTCTCCTGGCAATCTATTCCAGAGTCTCACCAGCCTTGTACTGAAGAACTTCTTCCTAAGATCTAGTCTAATTTTTTCTTATATATTTTTATGTAATTGCATTTGTTTCATTAAATAATAAAGATGTCCCTGACTTCACTGGCAGCACAGATGAGCCCCTAGAGTTTGGCAAGGAAAGTTTCAGGATTTTTATTAAAGTTGTCAGCAGAAAATGTTGCTATCAAAATAATATCACTGAAAAATATGGAAAGGATGGTTAAGGGCAGAGGCAGTTGCTCACCTACCTTCTTTCTATAGTTAATGACATGTATGTATTATATATATTAAACAGTAGAAATATACTTGTATATGTATATAGGTAAAGCAAAACTCTGCAATCTCCAAGAAATCCCTACGCCTGTACACTTTCAGACTGTCACCCTAGGGGCTGCTTGTTTCTTTTACTGAAATACCACCCACACCTTTCTGCTTAGCAGCCCAGCACTGACCAGGCTTCTGCTGTCTGCTAAGAACCAGACAACATCATGTCTGACCCTTCTTAGCAAGTGTAGAGACTTCTGTCTTTGTTTAAGCAACACTAGGGCCATCCATAATTTTCAAGTGCTTTTTTATATACTGCTAGTGACTAGTTTGACTAATAACAGCATTTTCTCATTGTCTTGGCTTGTAAAACTCCCTGAATTCTTGTTGCTTTTTTCCACAGGATGTTTTATGTAAGTGAAATGTGGTGCTACCACTGGAAATGGAAGCTACAGCACTGTCTCTGCTTATTTACCACATATATTATATTTGTACAGCAAGCAGGTAAGTCAGCCAATTATCTTTTTGCTTAAGTAAATGATCTAGGAGCCAAAGTTTTGGTGACAAAGGTTTATGCTTACATATAACTGAATTATGTGCAATATAACATTTTGATGAATGTGCTGCATTATAATTATTGGTTGTGATTGCATAGGCTGGGTCATATTTTCTGCCACTTCTGAATTTTCTTTTTGTCAATTTTTATAATTTTGCTGTTATTAAATTGTTTTGGTTTGTGTTTTGTTTTGTTTTCCTTTGACTTTGTTCTTTGGATTCTTTCATTTTGCCCTTCCTTTTCTTTCACCTTGTTAAAATCTACCTCACTTTGGCATTTCTTCTGGTTGTTGGAATACTGCAAGTAATTGTGTAGCTCTTCCGTCTTCCACAGTACTGTTTGTGCCCGTAGATTATATATTCAGCAACATTTCACTCTAGTTCAAAGCTGTAAAACAACTGTTGTGTGTTTATTATTTTTAAATGATTCATATAATAGAAACATTCCTCAGCAAGCTGTCTATATATGATAATGATACACTGTAAAGAACAACCAGTTTTAACTTATCTCATTCTGTAGTGACACAAGTACAAAATAATGTAACACATTCTGACTGTTTTCTTTAAACACATGAATGAGAGATTTCATTTAGTAGGTGTCCTTTCCCAGCCACTAGAGTGCAAAATATTTTAGGAGCTCCAGCTGCTTTACTGGAAAAAAAAAAACCAAACAAACTCTGGAGTTTATTCTGGAGCATATGAAAATTTTGGAGCCACTTGTAGTGCTTAGCTAATTCCATATCAGGTGGGTAGTTCTGCTGTTACAAACTTGCCATTGGAAAAAGGAGGATTTATATATAGAAAGAGTTTCTAATTTATTTGATATTGTTTTTTTTCTAAATAAAAAGTGCAGGTTTTAAAAAGAAAAACAACAAAGAACCCTGTACTTTTTATTTAGAGAAAAAATAACGCAGTAGTTGTGCAGTAGTAGTTTCCAGCTTCATGTCACTTTAATAGTTGTTTTCCATTTCCATTGGATTTTGTAGCCAGAAACGTATTTAGAACCTGACTCTCACCAGTGGCTCCATTGGCTGATGGCCTTTGTCTCCCTGTGTTCCTGGGCTGCATATGATCCTGGGCCATGCAGCTACCATACACAGCATAAAGTAAATCAATCAGAAAAAAAAACCCAAACCTGCTCTAATTTACAGCTGCTGTGGGCTGTTATCTTGTGACTTTAAGACGCAAAGACCTTTAGTCTTTTTTAATTCCTTTTGATAAAAATTTAGCTTTTGGAAGTGCGGGTGACACAGCAAAGGAAAGTCCCATGAGCCAGTATGCTGTGAGGGCAGAAAAAGCCAACTACAAGCTCACATGTGTGTTCAGTTAATCACAGCATACCATTTCTACCTGTGCTGCTACTGAACAAGTAGTTGGGTAAAAAGCTTTGTGCCAAACTCCAAGATTGAATTCTACAAAATCATATATTGTCCTAGCTAACTACTGCACCAATAAAGTGGTTGACGCCACTGAACTGGTAAAAGCAGCCAAAATGTTCTAGCAAATTCAGTTTCCTCTATTATTGTAACTATCTGTACTCTTTCCTCAGTCACTTGTATGGCACATAGGAAACTCAGAACCAGATCTCTGATGGAAATTAGAGCAGAGGCCTGAACCTGAATCTTGTACATCTCAAGTGTGTGCCCCTGGGGGCTTGCTCTTTCTTGCTTGGACTGGAAAAGATTTGAAATCTTCAAAAATTTCAATAAATACAAAAGACATTTCCCTATCTGCCTGAATGAGTAGATAAGTAAAGTACACTGGAAACACCCAGGTTCAATAGACAAATGTTTGCTGTTCAACAGTGAAAGAGATCATTAATAGTCTGCTGTTAATACTCAGCTGCAATGAAAGTGAGACTGTCACTTTTACAGCAACCTGTCATTTCATAGTACTTGCCTGTAGACCCTCAGGGTTCATGTTTGTTTTTATGTTGATGTAAAAGCATAGGTTATGCTGCAAAATGGAATCTTTTAATCTGTGTTTTGGTTTTGTTTTTTTTTTTTTTTTTCATAGAACAAAGCAGACAAAGTGGAAAACATTGCTTCTCCCGCACCTTTTTATTTTGTGTTCTTAAAAGATTTAGTCACTTTGGCTGTGAATTTGTGTTGTATCCACAACCTCTCTGCCAGCTTAAGCTTTATAGAAGCTACAGTAGAAATATCATAAAACCTGACATTCATCCAGCTCCACTAGTGAGCTATAAGCTTAAAAAGCTATTTGGGCTTATAAAGTTTTGCCTGGAGGATGTTACATACCAACAAGGGCTTAAGATCATCAGGTGCAGGTTTCATGGACTGTTTAAGGGACTGTTCATAAGGATAAATATATCAGTCATGCTGTGACAGGGAGAAAATGCAAAAGTAATAATTTTATAGTTTAACTTGAGAAGAACTACAGGACTTGGTCTGCTTTCAGAAACAAAGCTTAGGAGAGGGATTACACAGCAGAAAACGTAGAACAGGAGAAGGATTGTCTCAAAAAGGATATTTAGCCACAAATTGATCAGTAAGGTACAGGCAAGCAGGTGCAGCAGTGGAGTGTAATCCCAAAATATAGGTCTGATATCTCAGAGGAGTCAATGGAAGGACTCTGACACTTAAAAAAGAAAGAAATTATTTTTAAAAAAATAATTAAAAAATTAATAAAGATATAACATGTGCTTTAGTTCAAAACTCAGCAGCTGTTGTTGTTTGGACATAGTGGGCTCAGGTCATGTCTTGTCACATTGGGTAAAGTTACAGAGCAGCTCAGTAAGCAATTTGGCAAGTTTCTATTCCTATCTGGGGTAGATGTCTCTGATGACCTTTGATGACCTTTGAGTGAGTCATTTAGCTGTGCCTCAGTTTCCCTGTGTATAGCAATGAGTGTATATCTTGCATCCTTTGCAAACAGCTTGCCTATCTTTCAGTGAAAGTACTGTATAGAAGATGAGATGTTAGAATGGTGGTGTTTTAAAGAGAATTAGTTAAATCTGTTTTTAGGTAAGGTTCAGACATTCCTAGCTTTTCATTCTTACGTACATTTTGTTGGTTTCAGAAAGCTCAAAAGGGAACAAAAAGGATCAACACAGCTCTGGAAAACATAACTAATGAGGGCAGACAGAAGGAACTAAGATTTTGTTTTTTTTTTTTTCCTTGTCTAGAGTAGGCAGAAGGGGGAATGCATAAGAACTGAGAATGTTTAAAGAGATAACTGCAGTGGGAAGGAATAGACTGATCTTTGTGGTCAGTTGAAAGGGCAAAGAATGGGCTTATATTACAGCGAGATAAATAAGGGGAGGACATCTCATCAAAAGGTATAGATAGCAGTGGAATAGATTGCCAAGGAAGACTGGGGAGTCTCAGTCCTTGGGAATGTGTTCTAATACCTGCCAGAAGTGGTTTAAATCTGTAGTCCTCTTTCTCTGGGGCTGAGAAATACATTCCAAAGCTTCCCCAGTTTCTATATTGCTTACTTAATCTTTGCCCTGTAGAATCTATTTTGGTTCAAAATCTGGAATTGGTCGATTCAGGTGTGTGTAACCTCACAAAAAGTGTTCAGTTTGGTCTCCCTTTGCTTTTTGGCTTTTCTGCTGTCATAGCAAAATGTCTAATGCTCCAATATTGTACTTTCTCTTGGTTTTGACTATGCTCTCTATGGTAACAGAAGAACTGGAGAGATTTTTGTGACCTTAAAAGCAGATTACAGTTTGCATAATTACTTTCCAATCTAGTTTTCAAGTGTCTTGTCAGTACTGGACTTCCAGGGGTTTGAACACTTGTATATTTTGAGGAGATGACAACATCCTCATAAGAGTTTTTCCCTTCCTGTGCCATCATAGGTTCGTGTATTATGTAAGAGTCAATAGCCTTTTAAAATTTTGACTACTGTGCAATCCTGTTTAGTTTTATTCAGCATGTGGAAAAATTTATTTTTATAGAGCCGTGAGTACATCTACAATTCTTATTACACTTTTTCTGCATTATGCCCCATAATGCAGAATGAGTATTTGTCCTATTGTTCATCCATCAGTAAAGTGCATTAGTGTCTGTAGTCATGTTTCTGTGTCCTCAAAGGGGGACAGTCCCCAGGAGGTCACCAAATAATAAGTTTCAACTTAATTACAGTCTCTGAAATTTTAATTTCGTGTTTTATTGTTGATTCAAAACAAAAATCTGTGCTGTTTTCAATTTACCAAGGAAAAGAGAGATGAGAAAAATAGAATAAAACTGAAAGCAGGTCCCTCACCTGCATAGCTGATAACAGTTTCCACTACAGGATCATCTGTGTCTGTCATGTGCCTTCATAGGGCCTGTGTAGATGAAGGAGGAATTAAAGTCCTCCCTTGTTTATAGGAGAGTTTCAGAACAACCCTGTGGACTCAGGAAGATACTAAGAGATGGAAAGGGAGTATAGTGGGAAGTATTGCTCACACCACCAGCACTAGCAGCAAGAGTTAGTCACATTGCTGTCTGCAAAAATGGATTGGGTTTTATCTGGAAAGACCCAAGTCAGGAAGTGTTTTTTTTTGTTGTTGTTTTTTTTTTCACTACCGATCTGAAACTGCCTACGCCAGACAAGGGCCAAAGATCGTATCGCCAAGCAAATGATGAAATGGTTGTCAGCACATTCCCTTATCTTCCCCTCTACCATGTGCACAGCAAGAACCAAATTGCCAAGACATTAACCCAGTCAGTCAGCACAACCCTCACGTACGGCGAGGAGGCGGGGGATTATTTCATAACATTATTACTGGATCTGTGTGAAACGTCTCCTGTGGCGTCCCTGGGGTGAGAACGGGCGTGCGTATGTTTCTGAGCAGGGTAAATGGGACTGAGGGTGCTGTCCCTGACTCAGGCTTGGAAATTCACATTTCTGAAGTTAGGGAAAAACTCAGAAAATCTAACAAGTTTGAAAAAAATGTTCAGTCTGATAATGTCTTTCCTTACACAGGCACACGTGCATCA